TATATATATGTATATAAATATAAAACACCTGATAGGCGGCTGGCTTAGGATCTTACACGAAGTCATAAAAGGTAAAAATTAATTTTTGGTAATTGAATGAGAAAATGGAAAGAAATCAACTTAAGGCTTTCGTTCGTTACAAAACGTGTTATCAGACTAAGATAGTGTCTACTCGGCTTGAACGATTTTTCTACGGTATTAACCGAAAAATCCACATATGTCACGCCCTTTTACGACGTGGGCGCGTGGGAAAATACACCTGATTACTTTGCCATGGATTACATTTTTGCTAATCCCTTTATAACTTTATCATCAAACACCGATGTGTGCCCCAGGCCGAAAATTGGCAAACGAATTTTGTGGATGCCAGTCCGTTATGAAACCCTTAATACATAAATATTTTTTTTATGTCTCCATATTGCTATTATCTTGTTTGAATCCCTAACACTATGTGTCGCAAATATATTTTCAATATCTCCATAACTTTTATTAAGAAATTTATTATTTCATCCACCGCGTACGCTGCAACCCCTGTAAAAATCTAATATACGTTTTCCCAGTGCACATTAATGATTAACTGTCATCTAAAATTAACAAATATTACAAGAGGTTCTCGAAAAAGGGGATTCTAATAATTTAACCTTGTACTTGGCTCCACTAAGAAAGGATTACTTCCAGGAACTATACAAAGTAGGAAAACAGGAAAATATCACTAGAAACAAAGAACAGAATCCAGAACCGCTATGTAATATCTAATCTATCAGTAAATGCTGAACAATTTTCCTAGAGATTAAGAAAGCTGAAGCGAAAAGGATACATTTCTAGTGAAAAATTTTGTAAACACTATCGATAGAAAATATATATAACAATGATGTTTTTTAAAATCATTTCACCCTAAACAAGGCAATAAAGCTACTAGAACGCAAGTGATTACTGAATGCTAGAGAATAAGCGAAAAAAATATTACTATTAAGGAGAGAGGGAAATAAAAGAACAAGAATTAAGAATACAGATGATCACGATTGACATTGTTGACTAGGAAACAAGAAGTCAGAAGAAAGTTCCCCAAGTTAGAAGTGAGAGGGAAGAAAATGTTAGCATAGACATTACAGTTAGATCTAGCCATTTCAACTGTGAAAATGATGAGACCTTGATGCTTAAATTCATAAAGTCTAGGTACCATAGGGGAGAGTTGATTAGAACAATTACCATGAAAGCATTTAAAGAAAAAGCACAGAGTAGCTACGTTACGACGGTGGGAAAGAATGTGAAGCCGAGATGCCAGATAAGAAGCAATAACATTGCAGATTGCTTTGTCGATTTTATCAAGAGTCTCTAAATATTTATCAGTTCCTAACCCAGACCTGATGTAGGAAGATTTTTAAAGCAAGGACAAATGGAGACTTATAAATATGTAAGATATATCTGGTAAGAAATATTGTCTAACACAACGTAGTGAACCAACTTTCTTTGTTGCAGACTTAGCAATTGATTCAATACAATCTTTCCACTTCTTGTCAGTGGAAAACGTTAGTCCAAGAAGGTGCAATGAGTCACTCTCGAGGGTGGGGGATAAGCTATATATTTAGCTGTCCTCCCACGAGGGGTCGCATGTGGCACAAGGCCGAGTTTTACGTGGTCACCCGAGCCCGTAGGCCCGGCCAAAAATATAGCCTTCGACTCGCCTAGGCGAGTTCGAGAGCTGTCATAACCTCCCCGAACGAAACCTTGCACTTCGGCAAAGCTTCGTCCGGGTTCCTCTATGCTAATGCAGAGAGTTTGACAGACGGCGGTTGCTGTAAGTTTAATATTACTTGTAGTATTACTAGTAATATTACTAGTAGTATTACTAGTACTTTTTATTAACAGCTATGCTGTTAATAAAAAGTACTAAGAAAACTAAGGAAACTAATACAGAAAGAAAGAGTTGAAATCTTTTGGAGATATCATGAGGAAAGACGGCCTAGAAAATTTTAAACTAACAGGATATATTTAAAGAAAGGGAAGCAGGATGAAAATAGCGTGTAGCCTTCTTAAGGAGTTTATTTTAATAAATGGCAGAATAGGGATTAATTTAAAGATTAAGGAAATCACTTGCAGTTACAACAGGCAGGAACGTCTGAAGGGCCATGATCATGATCACGGACTTGTCATATACAAGAAGATATTGTATAATAACCTAAAAGCATGAAATTCTTAGCTCCTGAGTCAGACAAATTTTCTCACAACGTCAGTAATATATGCTTTTCATTTTCTTCTTTATTTACCAGCGAATTTCAAGGATAGCTTGTCCGCTCCGAGCTATCCGAGTCAACGCTGATGCTATCGAAAACCATTCCAGAAAACAACACAATAGAGTTGAGAATAAAACAGTAAAGAAATTATATATATATATATATATATATATATATATATATATATTCTAGAATTAAAGATACGAATGTTATTTTATGATGCAAATATTTTGTCTGCAAGAATGGCGAAACAGATGGGAACATTTCTCTCTAATTTATAGTCACGAGACAATCATTTGTTTTATGCAAATAAGTAAGTTCATTGGCTGAAGTGATACTGCGGTCGTTGAGAACAAAGACAATTCGCTCTAATGCAAACGATCGTATTAGTCCCAAAATAAAATAAATATCACGCTGTCTGCATTTATTCAAGGCCACAGAAATTAATAACGGGTACATTTTTAGCAGTTTAGAAATTAGTTTTCTCAAAACTTCGTTGTTGTTCAAATATTCAGTTTATTTTATTCTCAGCATCTTTCTACATATCTTTTCCCTCAAGTTTGTTCTTCATCTGTGACTAGATCTTCCTGTAACCACTTCCATATAGAAATTTCGGCTGATTGAAGGATTTAAATGAAATTATAAAAACTTGCGTATTTATCGATAAAAATGCTTGCGAAAAGGAAATTCTATAAGAAAAATTCTGAAAAATATTTGGTAATTATTTAATTTTATAAACTTTCAATGAAATATTTGAACACAAAAGAAATATTTATAATACAGGTTGTCCATGAAGTTCGTGTACACTTTAAAAGATTATAACCTTATTTGTATTTGCGATAGAAATAATCAGTAAAAAATGTTGTAAAGTTTAATGTACCTAGTTTTAAGTATAGCTAAAATAACTAATGTGATTTCAGGCATTACTGTAAATCAGTTGGCAAATATTTTCCGTGAACTGCAAAATCGTATTACCCTTTGTATTGCTAATGATTGAGAATATGTGGAAACTTAAATAAAATTTCAATAAAACCTTCAAAACTATAGATTTACTTCTTTCTAATCCTTTTTACAAATTATTTCTATCGCAAATACAAATAAAGTTATAATTTTTTAAAGTGCACACGTACTTGATGGACACCCTGTATATAAAAGGTTGTTCTTGAAGAAAGCAAGTTAACAGAAAAATTCATTCAAACTTCCGGAGATGCGAAACATATATATTTACTCAGAAAATAAAAATTACGAAACGAACCCTACAATATGTCTTTATTTGAAAAGATTTTGTTGTTGTTAAAGAACTAAAGAATATAGGTTGAAAAATAATTTTTAGAGATATTTATTTTCATTTTAATAAAATTAATAGTTTTAGTATTTCAAAAAAAGTCAATTATCCTTACCCTATGTGAATGCTAATGAAATCTTATTAAATAACATTTATATAACATTATTCAAGAATATTTTAAAATAATATAATTAAATAATATAATTAAAATAATATATTAAATCATATAATTAAATTAATTTAATATTATTAAGTAACATAATTAAAATAATAATGCATTATATAATGTATTATATAATATATTAAATAATATAATTACATAATTAAATAATATAATTAAATTATATAATTAAATAATTTAATAATATAATTAGATAATATAATTAATAAAATTAAATATAATTAAAATAATATATTAACTAATATAATTAAAATAATTAAAATAATATATTAACTAATATAATTAAAATAATTTAATAATATAATTAAGTAATATAATTATATAACAGTATTATTAACATTAAATAATAGGTTTTTATAATCAAAAAATTTAAATTTTAACAAAATCCGTTGCACAATGTATTTTAAAGAAAACTGAACATTTTGTTTCGTTTATTTTTAATTATCAGCGTTTAATAATGAAAAGAATTTATGAAATGTTTTATTGCCTTTTCATTATCTGCAGTTTCTACGCAAAAACAAAATATTTATCTTGCCATTTTAATCTTTCGTACTTCAAAGAACTTATATAAATTATTGCAATATTCATACGAGGTTTCCTTTTTTTAAAAAAAAATGCCCATGGCGATTTCTAAGACAAAGTATTTCACAATTTCCATCGTATTAGCATTTTTCGTGAGAGTAAACCTACCTGGAAGTGTAACTTACTTTTATAAACGGATGAAATTGATGTTAGATAGAAACGTTAAGAATTACCTTTAATCTTGAGCATTATTATAACTTTCCATGAAAAACCGGATCTTTTCTACAAGCGGTTTCAGATCAAAATCCTGACATAATTATCGCACATTTCTCTACGCCAGGATTATTTAATTTGTTCGAACAGGAAATGCTTTAAAAGAAATAAGAGAGTCGTGAACTTGCAGTCAAGTCAATCGTCATAGACTATTTCTCGAAACCTTGTTTCTTATCTTTTCTTTAAATGCATTGAATGCTTTTGAACGCAGAAGACAACCTAGATAATCTTCTTCATTTTCCCTCGCCTCCAGATTCTGTTAACTATAGACGGTGTTCGGAAAGTCACTTTTCTAATCATAATTTTTATATTTCAGATTTACAAAACTATTTATAATTTGTATTCATATTCACCTCCTGCATTCTATATTGAAAGAGGTTGTTAATAAAAAAATACATGTGCTTAGTGTCTTTCCTAACCTCTTGTATAGAATGGTGGTTCTTCACTTTCGACAATGGCATCGATATGCACGGTTGAACCCGAAGTTGACTGTAGATTCTAACGCATGAACGACAAAGACATCCGCACTGTGGAAAGGGAAACTGGCCTAGAGTTTTGGATGCTTCTACTACTGCCTTCCTTTTGCTGTTCTCACGTCAGTTTGCCTCAGATGTCTCTGTTGCTCAGCGCGTCAGGGCACACCATCCAGTTTGACCCTCTGGGCACACCACAAGCAGAGTGAGGATTATTCCATGTCCGTGATGTTGGTCTCCGTGCAGACTTTGAAACGTTTCAATAGCCTACCCTACTTTCTCTTTCCCTTTAAAGAGCTCGCCATAAAGAACACGCTTTGGGATTCTGTCATTATCCATCCGGGTCTTATACTCCGTCCATCTGAGTTGGGCTATCAGGATCATGGCTTCAATCTTAGTGGTTTCGCCGCGGTTCAGGACCTCAAAGTTTGTAATCCTATCCTGTTATTTGATGCCCAAGATAAAGTGCAAGGATAGGATATTAAGGTTATATTAATAATTTAAATAAGATAATTAAAATCGAGAATTAATGTTGAAGCAGTGTGCATATCAATCGAGTAGTTATCTATAGTACCCAAAATTTTTCCAGCAAAAGGAAACAGAGCGAAAACAAAACGTAAGGCAGGCTGAAGTTTTATGAAACATTTATTCTAGAATATAATAAAGTAAGTTTGACTGTTGAAAGGTACGGCTTTTCTTGAATGTAGAGTCCGTGTGTCTACATTTTGAAAAAAAAAAGGCTACTTACACAACCGGCCATAGGGAATCGTTTTAAGTGGATGAAAATGAAGTGAGAGTTTTCTTTCCTTTTTTTTTTGTTCAACTATTAATTTATAAAGGCGCTAGTCATCTGCTACTGTTACTAAAGTGCTCGCCGTTGCTATTAGATTCTTTTCTACAGGAAATATGACATTCAAATGAATCTTGTCTTATTTCTAAGCTCAGCTACATGTATTTTTAATCGGTCTTCACTTTGGTTACATGTTTAGATGGTGTAATAGCTGGAGGCTTGGAAGGAGAAATCGGCGAGTCGAATTCGATTTCCAGTTGTTTCATTCACTTTAGCATAGATATCTTTTGGGAAGGTTTGAATCGGTATTTTCTGCCCCAAGATATGGGTTAAATAGCAGGTTAGAATAGACTCTCTAACCTTGGCTGGCATCCCTTATAGGAGAAAGACAACTCTGAAGAGAACATGCTTGAAGCGTAACTAAAGCCCATTTAGTATGGTTGCAATATAAACCAAAAGTTGGCTTTGTGGTTGTTGAAGAAACACAAATGGACCTGAACAGACATGCTGGGAAACAAGCAACCATGCTGAAGATGAAAAATCACGCTGATTAGCAGAGGGGCCTTCGGATGAAAACTGTACTGATGATTCGGTCAAATAACCTGATTGCTAAATAGTCTCACTAGAGATGATCACAATTAATAATGCCACTCAACATTAACGAGCAAAGTAAAATCTTCTACCTATACAGGTAGATCATAAAGACAATCCGTTATGATAGTGAATATCAGATTTTTTTTTCTATTCTTCCAATCTGTTTCAATTAATGTCTTTTATCTTCATCTGTTTACCGAATTATTCTTTCAGTTGATTACATCCCTAATTATTGATTTGCTTAGACTCATTGCACTGTTGCCTTTGTTTGTTTAATAAATTTTATTCATCGTTCGAGACATCATTACTAGATTTCCACGTACTTTCTTTTGTTATTCGCTTTCTAAGATAAATGATTTTTTCCCCGATTGTCTCAATACAAAATTTTAGATTCATTGTTTTCCTTACCGTACTTCTTTGCAATGACAACAGAAAATTGTTAGGCGTTAAAAACACTGCTTTTTTTTTTCTTTTCTTTTTTCAGATTCTTTCCCTGTTCTTGTATTAGCTACTATACGTTCTTTTCAGTTTCAAAGAATTTAATTCAAAGTTAATGAAAGTTGACAAATAAGACCAACAGGAAAAAAGTATTGTCAGCTTTTCATAGATTTTTTATTTAGTGTTTCAGATTTAACAAGTATAATAAAGAAACATTCAGTGTGATTTTGATTTCACTGAATTTAATCTAGACATTTAAACAAGGCAGGAAAGAACTTGATTTCTCTCATAAACTGAAGCTCAAGCATTCAAACACTAAGTCACACAGTAATCTATGTTAGAAACAATTAGAAAGGGCAACATACGCATACGAATCGGAATAAATATACGAGTAAATGAAACGCTATAGTGTATTAAAAATATAATTATTGACAGTTGATTTCTGTCTATATCTCTGAGATGAGGTATTACGATAATTTGCATTATTTACATTATTAGAACTGTTATCCTCATCTTCATTGCCATATTCACAACATTCCGGCCTCTATATCTCTGAGATAAGGTATTATGATTACGTGTATTATTTACATCATTCGGACTGTTATCCTCATCTTCATTGTCATATTCGCAAAGTTTCGGCCTGCATATCTCTGATATGAGGTATTATGATTACATGCATAATTTACATTATTAGAACTACTATCCTCATCTTCATTGCCATATTCACAACATTTCAGTCTCCATATCCCTGAGATGAGGTATTATGATTATTTGCATTATTTACATTATTCAGACTGTTATCCTCATCTTCATTGCCATATTCACAACGTTTATATCTCTGAGATGAGGTATTATTATTACATGCATAATTTACATTATTCGGACTGTTATCCTCATGGTTTTATTGCCATATTCACAAAGTTTCGGTCGTTGTGTACTTCGGCCTTCTTCAGGTGATAGGAATCCACCCCAGTGAACGAAATAAAGGGTTCGGGTCGGTATATAAAAATATAATCCCGTTGTAAATTTAAAATATCATGTATAGTTATGTTATGCTTATTTAATAATCTCCCCTCCCTATCTCTCTCTCTCTCTCTCTCTCTATCTATCTATCTATCTATCTATCTATCTATCTATCTATTTAAATTTAGTTTTTCTAAAGAAAGTAATAATTTTTTTTTAATCCGTCAGATTCTTTAACGCTTTAAACGTTATGACGAGAGAAGTTTCACTTAAAGGTACATTTTCAGCATTACTAAATTGACTAGTTCTCTGTACCTTAGTTGGTTAGAGCGTGCCGTATGTAACGATAACTCTCTCTGCCCAGGTTCCAATATTGCCGGAAGAGCGCAAATGTCTCAAGCACTCAGTCTGGTAGACGAATAAAAAATTATACTGCTTCATAATTAAACGAAATATGTCAATACATATATTCAGTAAAGTTAACATTTAAAGTGATTATATATATATATATATATATATATATATATATATATATATATATATATATATATAAAGAATACATTTTACTTTTTAATCCAACATATTTTTATTACTTTTTTTGAGTTATTTTTAGTGGATAACCATATTTGAGTAGACGTTCTGTTTATTTTAAACAGTATTTTATTTCGTCAAACAGCCAGCAGATTCGATACAACTTATTAAATAAAATTCGACCGCAAAAGGATTCGAATCTGCTTCCTCCTTTTCATGAGAAAGGGCAACTAGAACCTGCCTTGAATGTGAAGCTTGGTTAAATAAGTTCGTTATTAGTGTATACACTTTTGATTCACTCCATAATGTTTATTTACAAAATTATAAATATATGTGAACCAAGTACAATGAGATATTTATTATTTTCAATTTTATATAGATTTATTATTAAACATTTTATAAATAAATGAACATGAAAATAAATATTTTATTCAAAAATTTCTAAAACTTATAAATTATCAAAATATGTAACCCAAACACAATGCGATTTTTATTGTTTACCAATGCATAACTAATTATGAAAACAAGTTTTTTTCATTCATAATTGTATAAAAAATCTCAATGAAATATAGAGCAATAAAATTTGAATGAACATGATTTTCCGAACATAAAATTCCGTGTAAATAGTCAATCAGTTATGTGCCATAGCACATGTTGTTCTTAATATATGTTAAGGCAATCATATGTCATGATTGACGAGGCAGATTTTTCCCACAGTAGGTTGCCATTTCTTTCTGCGGTAGATCAGTTGCCATCCAAGGTTAATCCTGCTATTTAACCATAGCTGGGGCGAGAAGAGGATATCTTTCACAAGGTAAGTGAATGTAATGGATTCGACTGGAATTTGAACTCTTTTCTCCGATTCCTCAAAGCAAGCCGCTATCCATTGCTCCACAATGTCTCCCTGTGTGACTAAGCAATCAGCTAAATAAAGAGTGATTAATAGTTCTATGGTAAATCCTCAAGAATAATAATGAAAATGTATATTCCCATTTTTATATGTTTGGGTTTTATTAAAATTTTAAGTATTGCATTCCGAGGGAGATAAAAGTGCTTACTTTAATAACGGTGTCAAGCGAATCAATTCTTTTGACACATCGTTTTGTTGCATGAACAAAGGTTAAACATTGCCTACAAAAATATATTACAATATTTAACAAATATTAGACATACATCAAATAACAAAAAAATCTTACACCACAATAATATTATTTATTCAAACTAAATTATTATTATCATTATTATTATTATTATTATTATTATTATTATTATTATTATTTTGATTTCTGGCGTTTACACATTTCTTTCCGGGTCCCGCCCAGGGACCTAAGGTTAGAAATGGCGTCATGACACTTTCCACTGACAAAAAAAAAAAAAAAAAAAAAAATTAAATTACATAGATAAAGCCCTTCATAAGGTGTGGGCTGTACTTGTCAGAACAATTTTGTGTATCTCCTTGAGGCATGGACTTCCAGGAATCCCTTCAATTAGTCTACTGCAATCTTTTCCAACCAGTCCTAGGGCTCCAACTACAACAGGGATTGTTGATGTTCCCATATGCCACATTTTCGAGATTTATTATTATTATTATTATTATTATTATTACTATTATTATTATTATTATGTTTTCAAATCGAAGATCTTGCATTATGGGTGTTCTCCATCAAGTCATATGACTTCAAACAGATGGCACTTTCGCAGAATGTTTGCTGTGCCTAGCAACTCTAACTTCTGAAGCGATTTGATACGAGGCTTTATTTTGAATTTCTTAATGTACATCCTTGAAACATTGAGGACTATACTAGTGAACTTAATTATAACTAGGACAATAGTAGCCTAAATGCCCCACATGCTTGTAGCCTCAATCGGGAGGTTTTCAATTACTTTGACCTTGATATTATGGTCACCACGAACAGCCACAACTGGGACACACTACTAGTGAAGAGGCCATGTTTACACCATAACGTGATCAAATTTAAACTTTGATCACGTGACTACAATTGTAACAACTATGAATACGCACGAGAAGAAATCAGTGTGACTAAAGATATGTTTTGCGAAAGTGCAGATAAGTTACCATCAAGCAGAATGAAATAATCGTTTTTCAGCGCTGAAGTTGAATTATTCAAGTAAAGCTTCATACGCTTCTATTTAGAGTTGCTACTATAATACAAATAAATTCTTCATATACTTTAATTTTATTTTCATTTATTCTTAATGATGTCTGAAATATGTCAAAGGCTTGGGATCTTAACAAAGGACATAAACCAATTTAATTAATTCACCGAGTCTGATAGAAAGTTCAACAGAATGCAGAAAGCACTGGACGGCCGTTTCGTCCTATATCAGCAGTGTGCATCCACTACCGAGAATTGAAACCCTGACAGTTAGGTTGTCAAGGAAACATCATACCAACTGTTCCAACGGGCCTCGGTGACGAAGAGATTCCAAATCAGACTCAACTTAGCGCCGCTCGCTCACATATTCCGTGGTGGAACTCTACCGAGTTCTCTGTAACCATAGGACTGTGCCCCCTGGAACCACGACTACTCTCACCAAGCCGCTCACTCTAGAGCCTTAGAAGTCGGTTCAAGCAATGATATACACAGATATAAAATTATATATATATATATATATATATATATATATATATATATATATATATATATATATATATATATATATATATATATATATATATATAAATGGAAGTCAATAACTGAGGGAAAATCTGCTTCATGCTTAAAGGACGAAAACGCGTCACAAGAAAACTTTTTCCACTTTGTCATATATTTGATCCCATTATGATATATAATAAATTATATATCTTTATTTCATTTATATATATATATATATATATATATATATATGTGTGTGTGTGTGTGTGTGTGTGTGTGTGTGTGTGTGTGTGTGTGTGTGTGTGTCACCTGATTAATATTAATAAATGTTTTTGTACTGATTTACTCTTTCGTTTGACTTTGTTTTATTGACCAACGTATCCACTTTACTGTGCCTCTGTGTAGGTCAACGCCTGAGTGACAATCTGTTTCATGCTTAAAGGACGAAACGCGTAACAAGAAAACATTTTCTACCTTGTCTAACATTTTTCCCACTGTTGGTCTTGATATATGTTATAAACATTACCTATGAACACTAATGTGTATGCCTCAATCCTCATAAATTCGTTGGACGCTCTTGTAAGTGGGGGTAATATGCTGTTTAAGTATTCCGCCACAGCAGTGATTTACTTACTTTACGTCGCTGGTGAGTATTTTATTTTGTTGATGTATAAAGATTACTATTTCATTTCTATCTCCGTTTTAGTTATTCCTTATTCAGTAACCCTTCCTAGGATACAGCAATATATTAAATATATATATTGTTTTCTCATATATATAATCTGAATTAGTCAAACAAATCTACTTAGAGTTGTTACTATATTATAGATAGTTTTCCACATATTTAATAAACAACGTATCTAGTATATCTAACTGTTGTGGAGTGATTTCACAGTGGAGGCTTGTATTTGTACTAAGTCAGTCCTAAATTAGGTTCGACGTACAAAACGTTAGGAACTTGATATAATAGGTAATGACGCAGAGAAATCTAGTTGTGGTCGCTGATACTTTAGTATCAGACTAACGGTCGTCCGGCATCGACTGACTCACCGACTGACTGACGATATTCAGTCACCCCCCACGAGGGCATCATGTGGCACAAGGCCTTTTTAACGTGGGATCTCCGAGCCCGTGGGCTCGGCCAAAAATATGCCCATTGAACCCGTAGAAACGGGTTCAGGGTCGGTTTACCTACCCGAAAGAGAATCCGCCCTTCGGCGTAGCCTCGTTCGGGTTCCTCCCCGCCCGAAGGCAGAGAGTTCAACCGATCAGCCAGTCGACTGACTGACTCACTCGTTACTCTTACTAATACTACTTATTATAGGTGGGAGAGTCTATTAACTATAGAATAGGTGTGTTCCACTATTACACTAACTATATATATATATATATATATATATATATATATATATATATATATATATTCTTTACTTAAGACTTTGTTTACACCCATTTCTATCCAGAATGGAAAAAAGAAATTCATATGAAAGAAATTCAGATTAAATTACGCTATGCAATAACGGGTTTAAGATAGGTAAACAAATTCTAATTTGACATGGACATTAACATTTTATGAAACGCCTTCTAACAATTATATGATATCATTTAAATAAATCCAATTGGATTATCTCATCCCCGTGATGAGCTGATGAAATGCGAAACTTGAGTTCAGAAATATAAATTTTGGAACTTTTATTTCCGTGAGGACACAAGGCCCGTTTGAAAGAAAAAAAACATTGTTTAAAGTTATCCAGTGACTTGACCCATAGAGTTGTCAGTTCAATATCTGACACAGCAGAGGTCAGCAAAAACCTGAAGAGTTGAGTTACTAAAGGGAAATAACTGAGAATGATATATCCAGAAGAGGCATAGCCCGTGGAAATAGAACAATCTAACACGTGGACCAAATAAAGGGTTCAGTTAGAAATTCCAACCACCCGAAGAAGGCTAGAGCATACAACGGTCGAAACGTCGTCAAAGATGAGGACAACAGTCCGACAATGTAAATATTTCATATTGCTCTATTTATTAATATTGAGAACTTTACTTCTTACCTTAAAAACGCTATTTTCGTATAATACACTGGTT